GCCCAGGCAAATGGGGGCCGTACTAATTTACTATTCACAAGTCTATGAGATAAGCACTCATAATTTTCATTTTACATGTATGAAAAACATGACACAGAAAGACTGAATAGCTTGCACACGATCATATGGGTAGCAAGTGACAGCTTCACTCCAGACACCCTGACCCTGGCGACTATGGTGCTTATTTGTTTACAATGTTGTCCTTCCTCTCTGGGAAGAATCGTGCTATTGCTTGTGACCCCAGAGTCGTGGCATTTGGGAGGAAGGGGTGATGTCTACTAACAAAGAAGAAAAAGAAAAAGGAGGAAGAGGAAGAGAAGGGGGGAGGGGGATAGGAGAGAAGGAGAAGAAAAGAAAAATGCCAGTCTCTGTAAACTTAGGCAAAAAATGTAAACTTTTTGTGTCCTAAGGTTACATTTAATGATTTGCTTTGGCTTTAGCAAATGACAAAATTTCATTTTTCTTTAGAGCATTAGAGATTGTCTGGAAAGTGATGCCTTTTAAGTACCAAATTGTGGTATTATTAATGATCTTTTTTTTTTATTTATATAGGTAAAATTTTCTCATATTGTGTCTGAATAAATTAACCGAGGGTGTCTTTGGAGGGCAGGAAAAGGGCTTCACTCCTCCAAAGCCATTAACCTAAGTCTAGCTCTTTGTGTCCCACTGAATTCTAAATGCATTTTCTAATTTTTCAATCTAGGAATGAGACTCTGATATTGCAGGTAATTAAAGTCATTCTGAGAAAAGTGTGAACACGTGGGTTGTATTGCTAGCATCTGAACAGAATGCTAATAGCAAAGTATGGGAAGTTCCTTTGGTTACTTCCAGCCCTGGATGAACGTTGACCTATTTCAGATACTTCTGTGACTCATCCAAAAAGCTCCAGATCACAAGTTCAGCATTTAAATGGAGACACAAATGCCATAGTATGGAGATTTTCCTCACTTCAATGACTACCCTTCTAAATCAAGAAACATTCTAATTTGAGGTATACCAAAAATAGCATTGGGACATATGGAAACACAAATTAACAGCTTCTATAAATAGGCACCACTTTGTCAAAGACCCAATTCTAAAACTAAAATTTTATATAATACTATGACCATGTTTTGATGTCAAGAAATTTTCAACCACTATTCAGGTTCCATAAAAAGAAATCTAAAAATGGGCTTATTTCTATTTTTTGCTATTTTTTGCTATTTTTTTAAATATCACAATCAAGATTTTTAAATCATTCCAGTGTTGTGCAGAAGAAAAAAACATGGGAAGAGCTAGGAAAGCAATAATTTCAAGAAAGCAGGCTTCCCAGTATCCTACAGAATATGGCCACAGAGTAAGAAAGGGTCCTCAGAGAAGACAGAGGCAGCCTTTGTGCCAAATACAAAACATCTCATTCAGCAAAGCAAATACTTGTGAAAAATTAGAAGCAAATAGAATCTTCTATTGTCCTCTGTTTTCTCCCTATCTTCTCCAAACTCTTCTGGTTTCCCTCAGATGCTCTATCAGAAAAAAAGAAAAGCAAATTTCCTACAACAAATATATTTAAATGTCTACTTCCAGTGCAGATGATTAGGAAACCAGAAAACATATTTATAGGTTGCAAACTGTAAAAGCAGCACCATGAAAGAAGGCTGAAATTAGCAGACTTGACTCAAGCTATATGACTTGGTACAAATCATTTAGCCTCTCTGGACCACAGCCTCCTCTTCTGCAAAATGGAATTACCACCTGCTTCTCTCTCAGATTCTTATGAAAATCAAATGATATTATCTCTGTAGCCCATCATGTGTCATAAACCACGATATGCTCTGAACACATCAAATGTTATACAGGATCTTGTTTTGAAAAGTTATTAAACTCTTTCTGCAAAAAGCTTAGGATCTGATACATATTATTTCTTTGTCAAAAGGGGGAGGTTTGCAAATGTTTGTGAGCTTTTAAAGTCAAAGAAGCATCAAAAATGTGATTTTCCTCTTGATGGAAAAAGAACTAAAGCCAAAATAACAGTTATTTAATGTTTAATGAGTAAAACTTAATGTTTTGGAATGACAAAATCATCTTTGTCCCACCTAAAACCACTCACTCTGTTCCATCAGTGACAGGCATCCCACACTTTGGAAAACCAACCTGGAGAATCTTTATAGTTCTAGTAGTAGAATTCTGGGCTCTTGTTGCTATAGGATTTAACCAAAGCCACAACTTGATTCAATTGCAAAATTGAGCTAAAAAAAAAAAAAAAAAAAAAAAAAAAAAAGATAAGATGCTTAGCATCTTTCAGCTCTCCTCACCACTAAAACCCACAATTAGCTAAGTTGCACAGCATTTCTCAGTGTTTACAAAATGATATATTAGATACAGATGACAGATCCCTCAAACAGTTAATGACCTCAGGGAACTGGGAATTCACTACAGGTGGTTAGCAGTGGAAAACAAATTTTGAGTTGTTATCAAAATTAAACACCTGCAAATGAATGATTAGATCTATCAAGTGGCTAATCAGGAGAGTCTCTTCCTCTGTTGTTAATCGTGTACAACATTTATGTACACTTGATACTGCAGAACCCTCTAGACCCATCTGCATGGGTTGCCTGTCAAGCAGATACATACCCAGTTATGACTGCTCCTGTCTTGACTCTTCAAGAAAATTGGCAACACAAATGTGATTGTGTCACTCTCCAATGGCTTCTCATTGCCTGTGGATACAATCCAAAATCTCTAGCACTATCCCAAAAGTTCCCCATGATCTCATTCTCACCCCTTTTGCAGCACCATTTTGTTTCACTCTTTCTTTTGCTCTCCAAGTTATAGCCATACTCACCTTTTATTTTCTCAAAACTGGGCTTGTTAATGCTGTTTCCTGTCCAGGCTGTTCATACTGCCAAGAATGCTCTTACCCAGCTCCACCACATCCCTGATCATCCTAATGTTAATTTATTCTTCACGTCTCAGCTTAAACAGTACTGCCTCGGAGGGGTCTTCCTTGTACCCCCTAGGTTCGATTACATTCAGCTGTCACAACTTCTTTACTTCTTTACCACTGCCAATCACACTTGAATTGCTGATTCGTGTCTTTCTATTCTACCTGTGTGTAAGCTCATTGAAGGCTAGAAGTGTATATATCTCGTCTATCCCTATAGCCCTGGCATATACCACAATGTCTGGCACTAAATAGACATCACTAGGCAATTGTTGAATGAATGAGTGAACCAATTAATGAATGGTTTCAGATTGGTGTACACCTAAGGCCACAGAGTCCTCCAGAATGATCTAGTAATCTTGAGAGGACCTGGTATTATTTTTCATCTTCTTGTGGACAATTCTCTTTTTTAAAAAAAATGTTCATGGGGGGCAGAAGGGGTAACCCAATCTTCCATTGAGCTAAGTGACATTCCAGGATCCTTGGTATAATCCTGTCATGAGGCATGCACCCTCCTCAATGTAGGGCACCATAATGTCCAACCTAGTGGACTTAGGTGATCCTCACACAATCCTGGGGCACAAAAGGCCACTGATATGAAATATCCTCAAGCCTCCCATCTTGGTTTCTATTAAGCAACAAAATTTGTTATGCTTTCACGTAAGAGAAAATTTTACAATTTGCTTCCCGAGTAGCCACAGTGATGAAGAGAGTCCAAGGTATAGTACACTTGGTGTAATAAGAGACAGCATGGTGTGATGGAAAAAGTAATGGACAAGGAATCAGAAGAACTAGATTCTGGTTCTGGCTTTGCCACTTATTTGCTGAGTGACCTTAAGCATCTGGCTCTTTCTGACTTAAATATCCTTCCCTTTTAAATTGTATTGACCTGGGACACCTGGGTGGCTCAGTCAGTTGAGTGTCCAACTCCTGATTTCAGCTCAGGTCATGATCTCACAGTCATGGGATCAAGCCCCACATGGAGCCCCATGTTGAGCTCCACTCCATGCTGGGTGTGGAGCCTGCTTGAAGTTCTCTCTCCCTCCCTCTCTGCCCCCCCCCCCCGCTTGCACATGTGAGTTCTCTCTCTCTGTAAAGAAAAAAATTGTACAGACCTTTAGCCTACAGGGTTTCCATAAGCACCAAATGAGATCATTATATTTACTATCGTATATAGGGTTTTCTGGTACTTCAATTATGGGGAAAATTATAAAGCTGTAGAATTCTAGGCAAAGTATGATAATTTTGTCATTGTTCCTTGAAAGCAGTATTATCTTTCTGATTTTGGACAGATTCTATTAACAGTAGAGTGATTTTTTTTATTCCCTGCCGTCTGATGGCTGGTAAAGATAGCCCAGTTCTCACCAGGCTAGTATGAGCGGAGATAAAGTTACAACAGGTTCATCTTCAAGAGGTAACAAAGCAGTGATTGGGTATGATGTACCTCCCTTGCTCTCACTCATTCTTCGATAGCCTGAAAAGTATCTCTTAATAAAGTGTCCATATAAAACCTCCTGTAGATCACGCTTTTCTTGGATATAACAGAGCCAATGCTCAACATAAATGACGACCTGAATCATAGGCCAGATAAGCTACCTACATGAAATGATTTTAGAGAAATCATGAGTCCTACTTCTCCTCATTGGTGCTCAAATTACTTAGATGTAAGCTTTTTCCCTCACAATTAGAGATGAAGTTTAAATCTTCATATAAGTCACACAGTAAATTTTTACTAAGATGCTAATGAGTAAGGCTTTTTTTGATAACGGCACTTGAGGAAGAGGGTATTAGACACATGCCCTATAAAAGAAAGAAAAAGACAGACAAAAATAGAACCAAATTAATCTTCTTGCTTTACTATTTTAGGTTCTGAGACATTCAAATAGATTTATTTTTAAGTGCACTGCTTTTTTTTTAATTATCACAGTCGAAATAACTATTGCAAGAAAAATAGAGGAACAAATAACTCATCTCTAAAGTCAGTCCTCACAATGCTTTCTTTTGTTCTAGAATATTTCTCAGAAACATGTACTGAACAGGAGCCTGGTTGACCTGTTGTTGACATTGTTTTTAATTACAGACTTATCAATGAATCTCTGAGGGACCAGCTGCTAGTGACCATCCAGAAGACTTTCACCTACACTCGAACCCAAGCTCAGCATCTGTTCATCATCCTCATGGAGTGCATGAAGAAGAAGGAATTGGTATGTAAACAGTGTTCCCCCATGAGTGGCAGAGCCCTCTCCATATTCCCTTCGTCTGTTTAACCATTTTCTTGAATCACACACCAACTGTTTTTTATTTCCAGCCAAGCTCACAATGTTCCTCAGGCTCCATTGGCTCCTGTAGCCTCCTCCCCTCAGTAGCTAAGACACTATTTTTTCTGCCCAGATTTAATGAAGTGTGTGCAGCAGGGTTTCAACATCCTACTGAAGCTCATCCGAATGCTTCTGATTGCCTCAACCAAATGAGTTGAAGAGAGAAAATAGGTTTCCTTCTGGAAAATGCTTCTCTTTGGGGTTTCACTTTGCGTGTGAGTAGGGAACCACTGATGTGCTTATTGTCAAATATCTTAGTGACACAGGATCCAGGTTAATAGGCTAACTTATACAGGTAGAAAAGGGAGGGATGTGCCCATGGAATGTTGGAAACTTCCGTAGCTTCTGAAGTGTCCTCCAATAGCTACTGAAACCTTTCTTACATCTGGTAAAAGTGTCTTGCAAATGTGGTATAATCACAGAGACCTTCTGTTAGAGTGAACAGAAATAACATGAGCTAACATTTAACGAGCACTTGCTATGTGCCAGGCAGCATGCTAAATCTTTACATGTTTCAATGCCTGTGATCTTTACGACTGTCCCAATAAGAGAAGTATGATTATTATCCTTACCTTACAAATGAGGAAATGCAAACTCACCTGATTAATAAATGAGGAACCAGGACTCAACACCAGTGGTATTTCATCTCTGTGGGGAATGCTTGTATCAGAAGCTGTCTCATTGAAGCCAAGGTAGTGGATCGCCCACTCTGAGAAGATTCCCTGCAAGCCTCAGCAATCAGAGACTGTCCTGAGAGGTCGTTTAAACCCACCTGCTTACAGGGGAGGTCAAGGAGTATCTTAAACCTGAACAGAAGCCTCACTCACATTTTGAACCACCTCATGGCCATGTGGGCATCCTGGGCTGATTATCTCTGGGGACACCATGGCGGCACTTCTTCTCCAGAGGGACATCAGGGCCAGACCCTGAAGGGTTCAACCATCTGGAGGCAGATAGGGTGGGGAGGGGCTGGAGTGAGCCACTTTCAGCCAGCTCCCCAACTAGACCACAAGCTCCTTGAGGCATGAGCTGGAGCCATCTTGCTCACGATGGTATCCCTATGCCTAGGACAGTGGCTGGCACACACACAGGCTCACAGAGACTGCCAGGAGGGAGGGAGGTGAGGGAAGGAGGCAGTTTCTGAGTATGAGAAACCAAACATTTAGAAGAACAGTACTTGATTCAAGTAAGCAAGACCCATTGCTGGAAAGCATCCACATGACCTTTGTGAGAACTTTCAGTGCCTTACAGGTTTGGGGTGAAAGTTTCCACCTCTAATCCTTGAGTATGCATAGACCCAGGTAGTCTGGCCATCTTGTATAGAGAAGCCAATACACAGATGGGGTTCATAGCCATGATGACTGATCCCCTAGGAGAGCCTCTGTCAACTGACTACTGGCAATCTGCCATCTTGGACGTGGCTGCTCAAGGAGGTTCAATTCAAACACTTCCTCTAGCCTCAAGGAGGTGCATGTACCACTGAGCTCCTGCCTGAGTCATGGAAGATGGTTTTCCTGCTGACTGTGGCTATCAGTTTTCCAATGCCAGCTGTGAAATCTTACCAGAACTAGCTATTTCAGCAGTCTTATAAATTTCCTAGAGATGCAGTTAGGATTAAAATTCAAGGAACCACTTGGAAGTCATAAAACCAAATGAGGGTGAATGTGCTTCTCTGGATATTTCATGGGACTGTTCACCAGGATTCTGCCCAATAATCGCTATGTCGCTTCATCATGACTCCTGCTGAAAAGGTCGACCGTATTTTAGTGACAGATATTTCCTGCAAAATGTGTGAGGTGTCCCTCACTGTAGGCGAAGGCAATGCAATCTTAACGAGAAATAAATTGCCCTTATCTGCACATCTGGGCAGAAATCAGGATTTTAAAAATCATAAATGTAATTAAAAGAATTTTCATTTTGGAGAGGCTGTTTATGTGCATAGACAGTACTAGATGCTTTATAAAGGATGTGGACCTGAGGTAGGCATTTCTTTTCCTCCTTTGGAGGGGAGCAGGGGAGGGAAGTGAGGTGGGAGAGGAGAGAAGGGGTGCACACAGCCGGGAAGAGCCACACTGGGGCTGTCCTGATGCAGAGCCCGAGAGGCTTCTGCTCTGCACTCTGCCTTGCTTCACACACACAGCACAGACGTTCACATGGAGCTCCTGTTCACTCTTGAATCCTTCAAGTTTCCTTTATTCCCTTAGCAAATGAAGTGGGATATAATATTCTGTAGTCAATCTAACCCTGGCCAAGTTCAGCGAAGGGATTTGGCCCCAGAGCTGATCTGACATCTTTCTCATCCCGGCATCCTAAAAGCTTCTGTAATAAACAAGTGTTCTAGGCATGCGTAGTCAGCTTGTGCAGCTTGGGTCTCTGGGCAGTGTGGCCTCATGGAAAACATTTCTTGATGGGCCTCTTGTGTTGGTACTTTCTATTCATTTCATATTGTTCTTGGAGAGATTTACTTCTCTTCTTGGGCCCAAACAACATCTCAAAAAACTGTCACCTTTTGAGAAGCTCTATCCCCCTACAGCCCTACCTTTGAGCCAAGCTCCCTCGCATTTGCTTCCCACACTCAGCATTCAGCGGTATAAGCCCCACGGTATGTGTGGCCCTAACCAAGTCGCAGTGGAGGAGGGCACCCATTCCGGGACCTGTTCACCACCTTCTGTTTTCACACCGACAGCTCCTTCCATCTGCTGTCCTCCTCTCTCAGCTGCTGGACCTCACGGGGGGCCAAGGCTGTCCATTTCAGCACCACCTCCCCCCCCCCCCCCAGTCACACGTGGGAGACACATCTGCATTCAAAACTGACACTGCTCCAAAACCTGAGACTTTAACATCCGCTCCCCACTCCAAACACAACCACCCTCCCTCCTGCACTCACCACTGTTATTTCATTCCTATGGAACTTGAACACCGAGCTTCTCTGTAATTTGCTAATCTGAGGCCAAACTCCTGAGATGATCTACATGAAAGCATAGTGAAGGGACGTGAGGTTTTCTCTGCACGGTGCCTAGTTGAGAGTCTAGACTATTTCTACCCTTCCCTTCCCTTCCCTGGGTCCTCTCACTTAGCCACCCCTCTGCCCTCTGCCTATGGGCCTGGTCCTTCTCGGTACCATTCCCAAAGCAAATCATTCAGTTCTTACCAACCTTCTTTTATTTATCTTCAGTTGAAAGCCTCTTCTGTCCCTTACAATCGCTGTAAACCTTTATCATTGTCATCTCCTGACTGCCTCATGAGAACCTTTGCATTGCATTTCACAGTCTTTATGGTATGGCTGCATGAGCATCCTGCTTCCTTTCCAGCAGCAGTTTTCACGTACAGTAGTGATTCTGGAGTCTAGAAGCCAACATTGCAACCGGGCTATTAAGTATGCTTATCCAGTCCATCAATTCTGGATGTGCAGGAAGGAAAATAAACTGATGTGTCTGTAAACCTCATCAGCCAAGAAGCTTCCAGGGATGCCACAGAGAAGAGGTGGCTTGGGGAGAACTTGAAGGTACCTGGGATCTGCTTGTATTTGAAAGATGATGGACACGTAACTTGAGAAGTTAAACTTAAGGAATAGGTCACCGTTTCGTCCTAACAGCTGAAGCTGCGGCATCTTGATATCATCACATTCTCACTTGGGGAGGTACAGAGAAAGCCAAGGACCTAAGAGCTTGTGCTAATGGAACCAATGGAAGCAATGATACTGGGTCGTTGGGTTTGCTTGTCCCTCTTCTTACTCCCCGCTCTATCAACAGATGTTTATCAAAAATCAATTCTTGGTTCTTTCCCCTTTCATTCACTGTTCTGACTTCAGTTATCATTTTGAGAAAATTCCCAAATGCACAAATATCGGTCCTTGTCTTCCTCCAGTCTCCTGCATTTGCAGACTCCATGCTCTCGTGCCCTCATTCTTTCTTGCCTGGACTATGGCTATTCCCTGGGGAAGGCTGGTCTTCCCTAATCCAGTACCCTCCATGAATCCATTCTATGCACTGAGGTGTTGGCAAACTTTCAGGGTTTTTGTGCTGCATAAAGTCTCCATCATGTATTTTCTTTGTTTATTTGCTTATTTATTTTTAAACAACACTTTCAAATCTAAAAAGCCATTCTCCACGTACTGGCCACCGGAAAACAGGTTATGGGTCATATTTGACCCGTAAGCTGTGGTTTGCTGGCCCCTACAGCATAGTGATGCCAGATACTTCTTGTTGAAGCACAGAATCAATAACACCACTCCTCTGAATGCAAAGTGTAATGTTCTGCTGAAATTTATAGTCTTAAATTCTATTTCTTTTTTATGGACCCTTCATGCTAACTAAACCAGTCTGCTTGCAATTATTATTTTATTGCCTGCTTCCCTGCATTTGTTCAACTTAGACCTCTCTCATTAGCCATAACCAATTGCCAAATACATACTTGCACACGAATGCACAGGTGCACAGCACACACACATACACACACACACAAACACCTAGAATACATGTCATTCCATTATTGCAACTCTCTTGTAGTACTTATCATTTATACCTTAAGTTATTTATATATATCTCTGACTTATGTGAGACCTTAGGAACAGAATCTGTATCTAATTCATTATTCTGGTTTTCCTGCATTCACTTATCCCTTATCCTTTAGTAGTAGAGCATATATGTAGCAGACACTCAATAAATCTTTGCTTAATGGATGAGTAAATGAATGAATTCAGATGAATATGCGTTAGTGGGGAGAGATACGTATTTAGTATCCGTAAAGTGCCTTAAAATCTCCACTTATGCGTTGTCACGTCTCCTTAGGGAGTCATAGATTTGGTTGATGGACTTAAGTTTGATTCAGGGCCACCTGCTTAAGTTATGGGTGGTATTCTAATGAGGTGGTTATGAGGAGTAAGC